TGAAAAAACAAAAGGAATCACACCATCAGTGGACCTTATCCCCTATCTTGCAGCACTTTTTTCTGACTTTATAGCTGTTGTGCTGTTTTGGGTACTAATTTGGGTAATTACTTTGGGTAGTAATTTATCTTTTCTATTATCCTATCTATTAATATAATTGGCTTGATTATAAATATGGTAACAACACAAACAAGAATTGTGCCCAGTTTTAAATATTTTGTGTTTTATGAGTTAGAGAAACTATCTGCGTCACCTGAGTGGAACATTAATTACTTTAATGTGGAATTAATTTTTTTTTTTCTATTTTATTCTTTTCCAGCAAGGATGAGGACAAATCTCCCCAAACTCCCTACGTCTATTTATACAATACGGGTCGTGTCTATGATGATAGGCCGCTAAGAGTGGTCAGCGTTTGCCGATTAGTAATCTACACTTTCCCCTTCGACATACAAAACTGCTCGCTTACCTTTGGACCATTTTTACACATTGGTAAGTCTGCCGAAAAACACAGCCCAGTCGCCATATCTCTGCAAAGATAATATGCTACTTTTGTATGTTTTATATATATCGTGAACATTTGTAAGGTGATATAATATTTAAGCAACAAAAAAGGTTGTGATTTAATGAGTCATTGCTGTGTTCACAGTGGCTTTATAGGTACCAAACATGGGTGCTTTGTAACAACATGTCACAGTGTTTCCAGCAGTTTTCTAGCAAGCTTTTTAGCGTCTGTCTGAAATCCCATAATCATATAAAACAAGACCAGGATCAGTTGATAGTGTAATAAAATGACTAATTAGACAAAAAGGCTTTGGTGTAAAGTTACTCTTAATTAATTACATCTTTTCAAATCTATGATCTCTGATCACTTTTTACATCGTTGCTTTCCCTGCTGAGACAGTAGTCCAATACAGGTTTCTTTACTGAGACATCACTGCTTTCCCTTTTTGTCTGGTGATGGGGTTAAAAAAAATTACAGCAAAATAACATCCGAGCTTGTACTTGGAGTACAATGAAAAATGTCACTTTTAAGTTTAAGAGTTTAATTACAATTTTTTGCATTAATTATACATTTTCAATAATGATACCTGAATGCTTTACACAAGAGTCAAATGAAATTTCAGAAGGATTAAATTCATTACTTTAAATATCTCCAGGCGTGAAATTTTGTGAACTCAGCTTTGACAGCTTCGCTCTATTCATGTGCAGAATACCACAAGATACATTTCACACAGACTGGGCATCTATCATGGACAAACTTTTCTTACATTTTATTCCAGCTGAAGACATAAAGATGATTGAAAAGCTCACAGCTGCAGAGATCCTTGAGGAGTCCAGACAAGTGATGCAGACCAGAGGAGAGTGGGAGCTGGTAGATATCAAACAAGCTCAAACTACCCTTGAAATCACTGCTGGAAGTTACTCTGAGATCAAATATTATGTAAGCTATTTTATTTTATTGTGTATTCACATGATGAATTATTTATCTGTTTAACATCACTTTTTAATTGTGACACATTAAGAAACCAGGTGTAGAATTTCTATGTGAATTTTTACTATTTATACAATTATTTTTGGAAAGGTCAAAGTGATAGGATACACTAAAAAGTAAAGCAGTAAAACAAAATCTGCCAAGATGAAAGTTGTTTTGTTTTGTTTTTTCTTTCTTTGTTTAATTTTTAAGATTTTAATGTAATGGATGTCCTTTCAGTGCAACATTTTTCATTGTGGAAGCATATAAACAGAGAACAAATGGGGACCAATTATTGATCCTTGGGGAGCACCAAAGGTCTGAGTGGCCACCAAAAAAAAGCCTTAGAAATCACAACACAAGAAGTTTTATAGGGGGTGGTGGAAGTGTTTTCTGTTCTCAGCAAAGGTTTCATTTCACTATTGTAAAGTCTCACTAAAACCTTGAGCCTTTGTATTTGTTTTTCATCCCAAGATCATTTTGAGACGTAGGCCAGTCCTCTACGTGATAAACCTCCTGTTGCCCAGCTGCTTCCTCATCATGGTGGACCTCTTCAGCTTCCTGCTGCCTCCCCACAGTGTGGACCGCTCCTCCTTTAAGATGACCCTCATCCTGGGCTACACCGTTTTCCTGCTCATCATGAACGACCTGCTGCCAACCACTGGAAATACAACACCTCTAATGAGTGAGTGACACCTGTCGTATAAGTAGATTTAAATTAGCCAGCAACAGCTCTTGTTGAGCTGAAGGCCATGCTATTTCTTTTACATTTGGACCAGATGCCATTGCTGCCTATGAATTTGCTCAGTCAGGATGTAATTTCAACCATTCAAATCAGAGGGGACAGGTGTTTCTGTTGTTTGGTTTATTCATGTGGATGATATTTTGTCAATACCATTTATATAAATGAGGGTAGGCTAAATAACAAAAGCACCCCTCTGTCTAATGCAATGCAGTTCAACAGCACCATTAATACATCCTCCAAAATGACCATAGAACCGTCTCTCTAAACCAGTTTACCAAAACCTGAACATTATAACATTCATGAAGGTAGGGTTTATTTTGGGACTCATAAGTCAGACTGCATTAGTTTTAGCGAGGTGTTCCTAGTAAACTAGCACCTGCATTTATGTGCTGAAAAGTATCTCTTAATTTTTTTCCACCCCTTTTCTTTTGGTTTCCTGCAGATGTTTTATTCTCAGTCAGTCTGGCTCTGATGGTGGCCAGCCTGTTGGAGACAGTGTTTATCACCAACATCCAGTTCAGCTCCAGCCACTACAGAAAGGTGCCTCCCTGGCTCAGGGTCTTTGTGCTACAATATCTAGCTGTTATTGTTTGTCTCCCTCCAAAAAAGAAGAGCAACCGTGTCACAGTCTCCCTTCACCAACCTGCTACAGGTACAGTGACATCATCATTATATTTAAAATCATATTTTATATGCAATACAAACAAAGCTCTAATGATATCAAAAGGAATGTATGAGAAAATTGAGTGTGAAGGTTCTCCTGCATTCTAGATATTGGAAAGAGTAATTTGAAAGAATAATCTTAACTCAAGCTTAACTTACTGCCTTCTTTTCAGAGCTCCTGACTGCATCTCATGCTCTTAATCATCAGTGGAGTTTGTTCATATATCATAGAGATGTACCTGAAAGCTTTGAAAAAATGTGGTACAAGGATCTTGGTGAACACATTCTCTAGGACATTTCTTGGGAAGAACTACTGGTACTGGAAACAGACACTAGAGGCAAGACAATTATGTCTCAGAAACTGAGAGACTTTAGTTTAATTTACTGATCACTAAACCCCTCCACTGAACAGTGATTGTCCAATTGTAGCTTGGCAACCATAACTAGACATGACAGGCCAGTCAAGCTTAATTTTTCTCCACATGTTGAAGCAGTGTATTTGAAGTCATGGGAAGAGTAATAGGCAGTGGTGTATTGGTAGTTAATGAGGTGGGTGAAGTACTTGGTAGATGGGTAAGCAACTGAGGAAGAAGTGGGTACACTCTCCTCATAAGTGCTATATCATAGGCAACTGGACTTGCTTGAGTTTCTTGAAGACGTTTCAAAGACTCTCACAGACCTCATCTAGAGATGGCCTACAACACCACTTATCACCCACCTACAATGCAGTCTTGGGATCCCTCCCCAGACGACTTAACACCCGTGGACCCTGGACCTCACCTGGACCCATCTAACCCTAAAGACAAGATGGCATGGTGGGTCAATGACTCCCATGTGACCTCAACCACTCTAAGGGTTCACACTCACACAGGGTTTAAAGCCTGCAACTCCACACCAGTCTGTCAGAGCTGAAGAAGCCTCTTAGATGAGAGGTGAAACATCTTCAAGAAACTCAAGCAAGTCCAGTTGCCTAAGATATACTTACACTTATTGCCATGACCTGGATGACTGAGAATTTTCACCGACAGCATATTCCTATATATCCCAGTGGGTTTTGGACTGATAGGTGGGTAAACGGTCAGAAAAAGAGGTGGGTACCTGCATATACCCTCCACTGATGATGGGCCTACTGGGCATTTTATAGGGTTTGGAGACTTTTTTCTACGCTTTCCAGAAACACAACAGCAAAATGGTGAGGAATGCAATTTAGAAAATTGATATATTTTCTAACATAAGCTGCAAACATGAGCATGGTTAATTACCTTTCTTCCTATAGTAGTAACTTAGCATGTACTCTAGGTGGAACACTGCTTGAAAGCAGAGAGGATAAGGAGTTGGGCTCTGCTGTATTTTTTCCCGGTCCAGGTGACCGGCACATCTGGGTGATGCCATTGAAGGTGCATAACCTGCAGACAGTTCACCTAGCTTCGGTGTTTCATTTGTGATCGCCATAATGTGACTGCCTAGCACGCCAATCAGCTTGCTGCTAACAGTGGCCAGTTAAAACTTTCTGGGTGAAACTCGTGCACATGAACTTTGGTTCCTCATTGTGAGCATCAGTGTACATGCCGTGCAGCTGCGTGCACATATGCCGCTTCCTGTATTTAGCGGGTGGGCAGATGCTAATGTCCATCCCTAAATAGTACTTGCCTTTAATAAAACAAAAAAAAAAACATGTCACACCTTGTACTGCACTATCACTCTAATCTTGATTTTTCTTTCCATATCCAGCAATGAATACCGGCTTCATTTCCTTGAGAGATGCTCAGAGCATGCCTGGTCTGCCAGTGACCCCCCCTCCAGATCCCATCCTGGAGGAACTGAGGAGGCTGAGCAGAGATCTCGGGGCCATCCGCCATCAGATGGACAAACACTTCCAGGAGAACAGTACATTACAGGAATGGCAAATGATCGCATTAGTCATTGACCGTCTGCTGTTTGGTTTGTACATTGTCTTCTTCATGTTCTGCTTTATCACCATTGTAGTTATCTGGACACAGAGTAACGCATATGTAGGTTGATTTGATGGAAGAGTTTATCACAGTGATACTGATTACCAACAAAAGTTTGAAAGGTTGACAATTTACAGTTTTTTAATTTAATCTTTATTTTATTTTATATACTTTATTATTATTATTTTCTTAATAGTTCTTGAGTGAGTTCTGGAGATGATAATATTCTCCTAACGTTAATCTGAATCTACCCTTGATAAATCTATGTTTATCAAATCAGTGTGTTCGGATGTGAATTATTTGGCTGCAGTACTGGCACTATCAGTCCTGGTTTGGGACCCTGCTATTATTATTACTCATACAAAATGCCCAGAGACAGAGTGATACTTTGACTGCTAGTTCACAGCTACTAACACTGACAATGCTTAAGAATTGGGAGGGCATCCTGAATACAGCAAATGGAAGTGTTGATGGTTTTTTTCTGAAGAAAATGGCTCTTGTATCTGATGAGTATCCAACAGTTTTTTTTCCTTTTGTCTGATATCTTTTCTTTCTAAATTCAGGCTTTATTCAGCCTGTATTCTTAGGTTAGGTAAGGGTTTCCCATAGGTGCTGTCTATAATGCCATTTTAAGAAGCATTTTGTTGCTGATAGTGTTTTATTTATTTATTTATTTTAAAATGTAATTTAATTTTATATACTTTATTAATCCCCAAGGGGAAATTCAATTTTCACTCTGTTTGTCAATTACACACAGGTCCGAACACACACATGCACAAACAGGACCTATACATGCACTAAGTGGAGAGATGTCAGAGTGGGCTGCCCATGACGGGCGCTCCAAGCGCTTGGGGGGTTCGGTGCCTTGCTCAGGGGCACCTCGGCAGTGCCCAGGAGGTGAACTGGCACCTCTCCAGCTACCAGTCCACGCTGTAACCCTTTTTCAAATGTGTGCAAATGGTGGTCAAATACCTACTGCATGGAAAAAATTATCTCATTAACTTTAGACAAACTGGACAAACTTTTATTGATGATTTTAAACTTTTTAACAAACAGACTGCAGCAGGTCTTTGTGTATGGACGCATGTCCTCCGTTATACAGTCAAACACAGGCTCTCCCCAGGGCTGTGTCCATTCTCCCCTGCTTTTTATTCTTTACACAGACAGCTGCAGATCCTCTCAAGAAAACAGCTGTCTTGTCAAGTTTTCAGATGACACAGTCTTACTGTCTCTTCTTCAGGGCCACCAATCAAATCACGGTTGTGCCCTCCCTGAATTTGTCAGTTGGTGTGATGATAGCTTCCTCGACCTAAATGTGTCAAAAACCAAAGAAATGATCATAGATTTCAGGAAATCCAGTGTCGACCCCAAACCAAGCACTATCCATGGTGAAGAGGTACAAATAGTACAAACGTACAAATACTTGGGCACTGTGTTTGACTCACAACTAAAATTCAGTGAAAACACTGACAGCATTGTAAAGCAAGCAAACCAAAGGATCCATCTGCTGAGGAAACTCAACTCCTTCTACCCACATGCAAGCTTGTGGCTGATCCTGAACAATTTGTCTGCTACATGTTTAGCAACCTCTATGACGTTAGACAATTTTCGTTTGTATCTAATGACGTGGCTCTTGCTCAGTGACGGCTAAAACTAGTAACATCAACATCTTTATTGGCACAATGACTACAGCATACGTACGACTTATGCTGTATGACCTGATGGACAAGTTAGGGGAGAGGTGTATGTATTCGGACAGACAGTGTGGTTTTCATCTCAAAGGCAGGAGACTGGGTTCCAGAGACAAGTTCCTTTTTAGGGGAGCTTACAGACGAGATTAATGGGGACAGAGGAGGCGATGACCACATTGTAGAGTTTGTGTCAGGTGGTCGAAAATGTTACGCTTATTGTATGCTGCAAACCAAGACACAGTTAAAATGTAAAGGAACCACCCTTACCCTCTTCAGTTGACTCTAACTTGTCTGCGGGCAGAGATCTCCAGAACTGATGAATAACAAATTCTTCAGCAGACGACTGGTGCTATATTGTACTTTTTAAATTGGTTGTTTTATGTTGTTATTTATATTCTCAGGTCTCCATTGAAAATGAGATCTCTATCTCAACAGTATTTGCCTGATTAAATAAAGGTTTATCTAAATGAGTGCAGAGCAGAAGTTTATAAACAGCTGATTAGATTGCATAGATATACACTGTAGGGAATTTCATTCATTGCTGCTTTGTTTGGGGCAGCATACATTAACTTTTTCTTGCAAGAACAAACTCATTGTTTAATCCCTTTTCTTTGATGTGGCAGCACTGTTATTTTGACAAACAGGACATGCATGCAAATAATCTAGTTGTGAGTTAAGTTGGGCCACTCAAAAACAAGGTACACCACTTCATCTGACTCTTGGCATTTTGCTTTGGAATTGGTGGAGAAGGGTAAATGCTTGAGCTGACACAGACAAGATGACAGAGGTGAAGACAATTGGGCTCATCTCCATCTGCTTTTCACTGCTTCACGGTAAGAAAGAAAGAATTTTGACTATCTATAATGATAAATTTACAATACAAGAAAAGATTAGTGGAAGATGATCTGTTAAAAGCTGTTGGAAACAAATTTCATTGGTAATCCTTTAAGAAACTTTAACTTTTAAGATTTGCTGTAAGAAATTACAAGCAAAGTTGAAAAACAAACAAATCTGAGTACATGTTTGTGTCTTTGCTCACTCTATATTCAGTAAGCAAGAGGGAAACGACATAGTAGTGTTTAAAATTATGATAGTTGCCTTGAATTTGAAGTGGATTAATGTATGAACCATGTAGTTGTTATGAAACATTTTGTTGAACGGTTTATGAGGTCTTACTTTATTCTGTACAGCATTCAAAGAACTGCAAATACGTACATCAATTTGGGCTTTCTCATTAATTTAGATTCTTTTTTTGTTTCTGTTTCTTAACTCAGGTTTTGTTGCAGCTTTGAACTGCACCAGCCCAACTCCAGCAGCCTTGTTTGATGCACTTGAAAAGGACTTATTTTCTAAAAAACTAATAAAACCTGTAAAAAGTTTTTCCGATACACTGAACGTATCTATCGAAGTGACTTTAGAGGGAATTCTAGGAGTGGTGAGTTCATGGGTTGTACAAAATATATTCATGCTTGCACATAAACATGCAAAAAATTTTAATGACGGTTAGTGAATTTTGTTTGTCATTAAGAATCATGTGTCTCATTCCTAGAATGAAAAGGCCCAGTCCTTGACAACATTCCTATGGCAAGTCCTGGTAAGTTTTCAGAGCACTGACAAAAAAGAGAAAAAGATATCTTAAAAGAAATGTGAAGCGTTTCATCTTTAAAATCAAAAGAAAAGTAAAAATAATGCTGCTCTATTCAGCTGTTCCAGGGAACTAGCATGCACAATTGCAGGAACCTGAAATTGAAGTAGCGAAATGGATTTCAGCCAGAATTAATTTGATTAATTACACCTGTGCTTTTCCTACTGTGACAATTTAAAATGTCTTTCATGAAAATAATGTGTAGAGCGGCCAAAGGTTCTGTCTATAAACATACCCTTTTATGGTGCATACAATACTAAGCTATTTAAACAACCTGGTCTCACTCCAAAGGCATGGAAATCCAGCACTTGGGCAGTGACTTGCGGCGTCGGACACTGATGAAAAAGAGACGTCCTTTAATGTTGGCATGATGGGCACAGGTGTGAGGGAATTAATCAGCTGTGGGTGTGTTTCTTGACATGAGCCTGTGCATCATGTGTCATATATCCCACAAACGAACATACAGGGGAACAAGAAAACATAGGAAAAACCTAGAAAACTCAAACTCCCTACACAATAAAGGCTATTTACAAAATTATTTACCAAAAATGTTGATCTTATGAATGAACACATCGACCTTGCAGCTTTCCTCAAACCAGTATTTTGCCATCCAACAATGCATCATGTTTCAATACTTTACAGTTTTCCTATTATCTGTATCACTCAGCACCAAGTCCACTGGTTACAGCTGAAAACAAGCAACAGGTCATTTTCTCCTCTTCTGCTCATACTCGCCAGCAAATGAGGAACTGGGGGGTTCTGACAAAATACAACAAGAATATGGGTGGGGTGGATCTGCTCCACTCCCTGAATGCACTGTACCAAACCAAAATCAGATCAAAGAAGTGGTACCACTGCTTCTGTTCTGTTTCCTGGATATGATCATCTTGACCACCTGGCTGCTCTACCAAAGACATTGTGGAGGCAATGATATGAAGAAGAAGAAGGAACAAATGAGTATGTGTATACCTTTAAATCACACACCGCTGAAGGCCTTCGCAGAAGTGGAAAGAGTCTGGAGTGCAAGAAAGGTCATCCCAGTTCCTCCGTTGCTGGCTAGTATGACGAGAGGAGGAGAAAAGGACCTGCTGCTCCAGTTCCAGGCCTTGATCTGGATGCTACAGCCCACTGGATGATTATGGCTGAACAAAAGTACCAAGGTGCCCATCAGGTACAACAAAAAAGCCACGTAGTAGTACCCTGAGGCAACAAACCAAAATCTGGTTCAGGGGGTTGAAGTGGGGTCAAATTTCATGATCGATATATTTTCAGAGACCTCCAAAACACCCAAAAAAGTTACTTTTCTTCTCCCCAAAAAATAAAAAGCCATGCTATAGAGGGTTATCTCTATTTTTATGACTGAAACAAAACCCAGAAGTTCCAGTTTCACTTTGGCTCTATATGGCAAAGAGGAAGAAGACATTTCAGCCTTTGACGACACTGAAAATATTTGTTAATAGGATCCATATATTGTTTGTTGTGGTCTTTCCCTGGTATTTATTGACAGTAATACACTATAGAATGCCAGACTTATCATTTAAATCAAAGTATATCAAGTATGAAGTGACACAGTTAAAATGGTTGTTGTTCACTCTGCAGGAGTGGGATATAGCAGGTCTGAGCTGGGATGAGAAGGAATGTGGAGCTACAAGAATCTCTGTCCCTCGAGAAAAGCTTTGGGTCCCAGACATCATCATCTCAGAGCTGTAAGTTAAAACTATGTTTAGTAGCCT